ACCCCATATAGTGTGGAACGCAGACATGAACAGCGAAGACGAGATTTGAAGGCCTGACTGGCGAGGGCAACCCGGTCCTGGGAAGGATTGTGGCGCATAGCCCTGGCTGAAACGTGACACCTTAGCCGCCGCGAAGCAAAAGAGTTCGAACTCTGCGGTTCTCCACGAGGGTCGTCCCCCCTGTGGTTATACGACCCTAAACACTAAAAACCCTGAACCCTAAACCCCTAAAGCCCTAAACCACAAGATCCGAAACCCTAAACCAAAAACCCTAAATATTACAACCCTGAGCCCGAAATACTAAACCCCTGGAGCCTTAAAGCCCTAAAGCCTGAAAACCTAAACCCTCAAACCCTCAACCCTACAGCCCACGAGCCTCAGGTTCAAGCCATCGGCTTTACTACTACTCACTGCTTCCTCCTGCAGTAAAACACCTGCTGTATATTATTATTAGATCTATAGATATTGTGTAGTGGATCCTGGTCTGATCATTGCATCGTATTTTAAATACAGTATTGTATAGCTCTGTAAATCGAGTTCAAGTTAATTCTAACGGTTGTATAATAGATCCTGTTTCAATTATTATCCAGTCAATATATCCTGTTCTTTTGATGGCATATGATTGTACAGGAGATCAACGTAGATCCTTTCCCAATTTAGTAGATCCTGTTCTAATTTTGTATGGTAGATCCTGTTCTACTTTAAGTATAGTAGACCCCGTGCTAAGTATTGTAAAATAGATCCTTCAATCCTGGTCTGATTATTGTATAGTAGATCCTATTATTGTACAGTACATCCTATTCTAATTTCTGTGTAGTCGATCCTAGTCTAAATGGTACTTTGAGGATCATGGGACTTGGTAAAGTAGGGTTACAACTAGGGTAACTATACTTATAACCCCAATTAGGGGACTTATAACCTTACTTAGTAAGTCCCATGATCCTCCAAGTAAGGGGCTCCCTTACCTATAGTCTCCATTGAAGTTCCTTTTTGGGGAAACCATATAGAATCCTTAATATATAATTGGTTAAACCAAAAAAGGAACTAAAATGAAAACTATAGGTAGTCTAAATGGTAAGGTCACAACGCATCTACGACACCATCGACAAGCGGACGAAGAAGGCGCAGGCCGCCCTCGGGGCGACTTCGGGTGGACCGGCTTCCACGTTCCGGGCTTGGGGGGCAGAGTTTGGGAGTTTCTAAAAGGGTTTTGGGGGTATAAGGGTTTAGGGTTTAGGGTTTTTGAAAGGGTTTTGGGGGTAGGAACCCTAAACCCATGAAGCGCAAACCCCTACACGTTGAAACCAAAATCCATGAACCCTAAACCCTAAACCCTAGACCCTGACACCCGAATCCCGGAACCCTAAACCCTAAACCCTAAACCCTAAACCCTAAACCCTAAACCCTGAAACCCGAAGCCCTGAACCCTAAACCCTGAAACTCCTGACTTGAACCGGAGCTTAGGGCTCGGGTTCAGGGTAACTGTAGGACCATCACTACAGTTTCGTTCGGGTCTTGGGACGAGGTCCGGCCGGTCTCTGTTTGGATGACTTGGGATGTTTTGGGCTCGCAAGTGGTCTGCAAACACGGGGTTTAGGGTTTTTGGGTTTTGAGGGTTGGGGTTTTGAGGGTTGGGGTTTAGAGTCTGGGTTTACAGTCAGCCATCTGATATGTGGCGAGTTAGAGGCCATCTGTTTAATGCCGCTGGGGCTGCTGGTGTCTTGGACGCTCCGGGCGGTGTCTACGATTACCCCGGCCCATATTGCTACGCCGTTTGCTTGCACCTTGCAGCGTCCAAGTATCCAAACTCAAACAGAGCACACATACTTAGACTCCAAAGTTATCACCGGCAAGGCTTGTGCGGCCACGGTGTTCACACTTATGTGGCATGTATGCATTACACGAAGCATTTTAATTTGTGTCTACAGCCCATTAACGCTTGATTGTATCATTCCTTAAGGTCGTGCAGGTCCTTCCCAACGATGTTCCTTGCTGAATGAGCTAGGCCTGTAATGTCACCATGGTTTCCCTGTTGCGGATCCAGAAGCAAGGGCGCTTAACAAAAGGTTGAGCGCAGATTGATGCGGAACCTCTTAATCACCCTGTAACTGTAAGCCCTAACTAAGCTGCTCCTCGAGTGCTCAAGTATGTACCCTCTGAGTACCTGGACCCTTAGGCCAACACGAAAGCCTAAACCCTAAACCCTACACACCCCTAAATCCTACAACCCTAAAACCCAAAACCCTACACCCCGGAAGTCCCACGCCCTAAACCTGAACCCTAAACCCCAAACCCCAAACCCTAAACCCTAAACCCTGAACCCTAAACCCTAAACCCTGAACCCGAAAACCCTAAACCACGTCAGCCAGGAGATGATCGCTCGTGCAGCTGTTGAAGAAGTGTTTGGGCCCCCAGTCGGCTCCTTTCGGGCTTGTGTCGGAGTGGTTTAGGGTTTAGGGTTTAGGTTTTAGGGTTACTTAGAAACGCCGAAGCCGTCTACTTAGAAACGCCGAAGCCTAAATCCAAAACCCTGGACTCTTATAAGCCCCAAAGCCCAAACCCCAAATATCCAAAACCCTAGACTCTAAACTCCTAAACCCAAACCCAACGAATCCAAATCCCTAAACTCTAAACCCCAAACCCCTAAACCCAAGCGAATTTAGCAGCAAACAGGGATCACGTGAGGGAGGTCCGGGTTCACTGCTTGCCTTGGGCCAGGTAGCTTGCAGGTGTGGCATGAAAATGTCACAGGGGGCCTTCATAATGTTACCAATATTAGTGATAATAGTCATAATCATAATAATAGTAATAATAACCAGCAGCCAAAAATACGAGTCGTAATAAGCATGACACTACTGATAATAATACTAATATTAATTCATTCGAACAGGGCTTTGGTGCATGATGGCAAGGCATCATCAGGAACCTTAAGGATAATCTTGCAACCTGCTATCCACGCTTTCCACAGTGCCTCAGAAGTTCGTTGCAGTCACTTGCAGCAAGTCACCTACCCTTTTCCAAAGATGTCGGCCAGAGGAAAAACCTCACGAAGGACATGCAAGACGTCTTCGAAGTTCAAGATATCAAGGCCGGTTTCGGGACTTCGGGGCAGTTTCAGAGGTAAGAAGGTACTAGAAAACCCCAAGCGCTTCGACACAAAAGCCCCTCCATAGACCCAACGCCGAACGCCCAGCAAGGGACCAAAGAGCTCCACCTTTGCGGGCCCTCGGGATCTGGCGTCGGAGACGGAATATATTAGAAAGTAGCAGCATCCGCTTATCGTCTTTATACACATCTACCAAACTATCCCTAAACCCTAAACCCTAAACCCTAAGAATTAGGAAAAACCCGAGCTTCGAAGACGAAGCGAACTCGGAGTCTTCCGTGGCGTGAGACTTGCAGGTTCGGGGTGAGGGTTTAGGGTTTGGGGTTTAGGGGTTTTGAAGGTTAAAGGCTTTAGGGTTCAGGGGTTGTGGATTCATGGGTTAGGGGCTGAGGGTTTAGGGGTTTAAGTTTAGGGGCTTTAAAGCTTAAAGGGTTGAGGGCAGGGTTTTGGGACTCTAGGGTCGGCTTTGCACACGGAAGCTGTGTCACCACGAAAGCCCTGTGATGTTTTTTTTGTCTCTCGCTTTGTTGTTATGTGTTTAATGTCTCTCTGTGTGTTGTCGTGTTTTTGTTCATCATCGATTCTAATTCACGCGAATGTTCGTCGATGTTGTGCGTTTTTGCTATGAGCTTTAAGCCTACGGGGCGGAATTGTATTTTGGGCTTCCGCAGCGCAAGCAATAGCTGCACGATGTGCAGGATCAGCAGTCAGCAGGACAGCGATGTTGACCCTTGAGGAACCCTGAGTCACCAAGACCCTAAACCCTAAACCCTCTACTCTACTTTCTA